TTTTAAAAGAATTTTATCGAACAGTTGAGTACGTGAAATGTCAAATAAAAATTTTTGAATTAAAAAAAAAAGGAAGATGGTAGCAAAAAAAGCTTAAGTGCACTCAAAACTGAAAGAAAGAAGATGGAGTATGTTTTAACTGCGGAAAATATGGACACTTAAAAAATGATACAAAGAGAAAATCCATGGATAATTCAAGGTAGTTCACAGCAGCCACTAGGTAAGTGTCTACAACAACAACAACAGCAGTGGCAACATGGAGGCAGCACAGGTGGAGGCCGAGGCCGAGGTCGTGAACCTGGTAAAGACTCTCATTAATATCATCGAGGAGGCAGTTGGCAGCATAATAATCAAGAGCATTAAAACGAAGACAGTAATGTGAGTACTAATAATGTGAGATTTGAGGAAAGACCTAATGAGTCACGTGTTAAAGCAAACAACTGTATTTGTAAGGTTTAATGGTAATTCGATAGTATTTGCTCAGATCATGTCATAAATAATGATCAATATTCTTATGAATCTGTTCGGTTGAAAGAGCCTATAAGTGTCAAAGTTGAAGATGGAAGGTCCTTAAGATCGACAAACGTTGGTCATATTAGGCTCAAGTTTATTGTTTACCGTTAAAATAAATTAAAGAAAAAAAGAACTTTTTTTTGTTGTTAAATATATGAATAGAAATTTATTAAGTTACGGTACAGTAACAAAAGCAAATAAGATTTTATTAGTAGGAAGTAGGAAATATGTCGAAGATTTTTAATTAAAAATGGGAATTTAATTGTGTTGGCTTTAAGTTGGCAATTAAAAATAATGATATATTACATAAAATATACTAAAAACAACAATATATCATATTAAAAATAAACATTTATCATATAATAAGTGACATTTTGTACAGCGAGTCAAACTCCATGGTAAGAAGAAAAAGTAAATAGCAAATGAAAGATTACATAGAATATTTAGTCACGTGAATTTTAATTATTTAAAAAAAATGTGTGGTCAAGGGCCAAAGATATTTTAGAAGTTGTACGTACCAATTTAGATAAACCTCATAGTACTACAGTTTGAATAGAAATAAATATTTTTTGAGTTTTATTGATAATTATAGTACAGTAACTGAAGCTTGCTGTATTAAGTCAAAAGGTCAAGTATAATGTGTCTGTGTTACCAATGTAGATGTTTAATTTAATAAGCAAGGGTCTATTTTTAATTTCAGTCAGGAACAATTTAAGCAGCAGCTTACTTGAAGAATAGAAATACGAGTGACACTTTTAAGGATAATAAAACACCGTTTTTAAAATTATATTTGGGGAAGGCCTAGTGTAGAAAATTTGAAAATTGATGGCAGCAGAGTTTTTGTAAGAATACCATGGAAAAAAAAATTGAAAATAGGACATAAAACCACATTAAGTAATATTGTTAGGTTATGAAAACGTTAGTTATAGAGCTCTGATAATTAATGAAATAGTAGCAGTCAGACGCGTTGATATCATCAAAAATGGCACAGGTGACAATGAAAAAAAATTGAAAACATAAATGGCAATTCAAATAAAAATGTCAATGATAAGAATAAAAATTTGACCTGAAGACGGTCCACTAGTCAAAAAAGACAGCCTGATAGATACAAAGATAAAAATTGTATATATTGTAATTTTATTTATGTTAATTACAAAAATGCTGAGAGGCTCGTTTTTTATAATGATGCAGTTAATAGTAATAAGTCTGAAAAATAAAAAACAGCAATGAATGAGGAAGAGTATTGTTTAAACAAAAATGATGCTTGGACTTCTTGAAATAAACTAAACAACAAAGAACTTAAGATTTAAAATGGGCTTATACTAAAAAGGTACATGATATTTTTAAGGCTAGATTAGTTATTTATTAGAGGTTATAAATAAAATAATTAAATTAGTTATATTTATTTACAAGTTGCAAGAATGCATGCTTTCAAAGTCTTCCTCTTTTATTTTCGTCAAGATAACTTAATGATGGAACAGAAAAAAGGTAAAACAGCGTTTTTGAATGGAAAAATAAAGTCTTAAGTACATGTTTCATAGCCCCAAGGCTATGATGAAGGCTTCAAGAAGATATTAAAATTATGTAAAGCGTTGTACTCATTAGGACTAAACCCAAAAGCTTAGTATGAGTTTTTAATACTTATTTAAAAAGTTTTCATTCTCAAAGAAGCCAAAATAATTATTGCTTATTTGTTTTGAATGACAAAAATAATGATATGTATTCAATTTCTTTCGAAGATGACTTATTAATTTGCTATAAACATAGAAACCAAAGGACAGTGGGAACTTTAATACCTTCGTAAGAAGTTATATTTTTATAAAATTATATGGCAGATAATATAATTATAAATATAAATATACCTTCTATTAAACGATAGTGTGTACAAAGGTGGTGCAATCATCGTTGGAATAAGTATACTTACGTTAGTTTAGTGTAGTTTTAATAAACATTTTAATATCTTATAACTAAACAATCATAAGCAATATATTATGCCACAATACAATATAAACAATATGAAGGCTAGCCAGTACAGGACCGAGCACTTTCATCGAATCTTATGATGGTTTCAAAACAACTTTCTAAGAAAATAAGAAATACCTTTAAAAAATTGCAGATCGCTTAACTGTACTATTCTTCACATTTTTATTTTAAAAAATTTGCAGTTCAACATGTAACCTTATGAAAAAATCACTCACAATTGCATTTGTGAGATTTGCATAAGCCTCCCAATTTTTGTTTGTATGAAATATTACTTTTACATAAACCTATTTCGTTTTTAAACAGATGTAAAATTTTTTTTTTATAACACAAAATGGGAGGGGTCAATAATGCTTAAAAACGTTATGTAAATTCATCTATATAAGAATAAATAATTTCCAGTATTGCTGTATATATTTGCGCTCCTGAAACCTCTCTGAATTTCAAGCTAATTTTTTCTCCACTAACTATGTTATAAACGTCTTTAAGTCAAAATATCAATTCAATCTCAAAGAAAAAATTGTAAGAGAAGAAAACATAATTAAAATCAGTTACTTCATTTATTCAGTACGGAAAATTTTTTTTTTTGAAGTATAAAAAAATGTAAAAATCGCATATACAACAACTTATTTATTTTCAAAGTAACAAATTGATTATCAGTAAACAAATGCTTATAAATACATAAAAAAAGCTGATCTGCTAATATGTACTTATTTTGAAATTGAAAAAAAAACTTGTACCAAAAAAAATGAATACGCTTAAATAAACAAGTTATTTATTTAATATGTAACCAAACCAAATTAATTAATACACAGTAAACATTTACATTAGTAATAAGTTAAAAACTGTAAGATAACATGAAGTAATTGATTTTCAATGTCAGGCTTGCTCGTAGTAGAGTTGGTAAGGGCCTTGGTCAGTATGCAAGAGGTAAAGACGTCAAGGGGTTCGAATTTTTCTGGGAACTGCTTTTTTTTACTTTTTTTTTTTTTTTAGAAATTGGTTAAAAGAAAAATTGAAAATACATGCTGTAGTGTGGTGTGGTGTAGGGGGGACTAGAAGTACCTCAAGATGGGTAGGACAAAGTGGGAGAATCAAGAGAAATCTACACATCCGTTACACTTTTACTCAAAGTCATCAATCTCAAATCGTTGATTTACTCTGTAGGGCAGAACGTGCCTATAAAAGTATAACTTCAAAAACTGTGATCCTGTTGATCAACTACCTTCTAGTTCATATATTTAACAACACTGCAACAACAGTACCTTAAATTGGAACTGAGTATGATACCAAGCTAACGATTTAACGAACTCTAAGGCGATTTCAGGGCTAGCAAGATATGTAATACCTCTTCTGTGATTCAAAATCAAATTCTTAAATCATAATTTTAGCTTAGATATGTTTCACATCTATTAATTATTTTATTTTATGAAACTGTAACACTAATTTAATATGGTTATTATCAAATTCATAGAAAAGCATTCTTTTGATATGTGGACTAATAATAAATATGTCTTTGCCAAATTCCAAATTATCTTAAAAATTAGTTTTTTATAATTATCATTCATTTTCAATAAATATATTATAAGGCTTAAATACTTTTTATAAATCTTATAACTTTAAGAATATAGAAATTGGTTAAGTAATTAGTGTATAAATAATGTTTGTTCTAAAATAATTTTTTCATTTTAAGTACATTAGATGGACGTTTGTATGCGCACTTTCGCGCGCGCGTGTGTGTGCATGTGTGCGTATGCGCGTGCATATGTGTGTATGAACGTGTGCGTATGTGTGTGATTATACATTTCTATTTAAAAGCAATAACATTTCACGTGTCGTTAATAAGCTATCTTAAATCTTTTGTAATATTTTCACTAAAAATGTTTTTCAATGATATTTAATACGTTTTTGTACGTAAACATCCAATTTTTTTTAATTTTTAACTTTAAAAGAAGCGTATGATCTCACCTTGTGGAATGCTAAAATTTGGTATTTATATATAATTTTAAAAAACAAATTCTAATCGTTCATAACCAAATTATTTAAGAAATCTTGAGAAAATAATTTCCTTCTGAAAAATATTTGACGAAATAAAGCTGTACGTATAATATCCATGCTAAAAATAAACTTGAACTTGCATGAACGTTACTTTTATTTTTTTATGGTATTGAATGCATCGATGCCTCAAGATTTCAAATTTTGGCTCTATAGAGGCAACATTTTTTTTAATACACAAAGTGATGCACTTTTATGTAAAGATACATATGTGTTATGATATTTTCACACAGCATTCATAATTTAATTGAATATGAATAAGATCTTACATCTTTTTCGAAACACATTTAAAAAAAAGCCAAAGAGATCCCCTTTTATTACGTGTATTGTATACAAATATGCCTATCAAACCTTTTTACATACAACTTTGAGGCTTGTTTAAGATAAAATTTCTTGCAGATTGGAGTTTAGAAATATTTGTAACATTATAATCATAGTTTAATATTTAACAGTATTGAATGCATGATTGTGGCAAACGATGCAACAGTAAAAGCCGGCTCCTACTACCCGATTACCGTAAAGAAGCAGTTGCGTGCTCAGGAAATCGCTAAAGAAAATAGGCTCCCCTGTATCTATTTAGTAGACAGTGGAGGAGCTAATTTGTCAAGGCAAGGAGAAGCTTTTGCTGATAAGTCTCACTTTGGAAGAACGTTTTACAATCAAGCTAATATGAGTGCCATTGGGATTCCACAAGTTGCTGTAGTGATGGGAAGCTGTACTGCTGGTAAGTTATGGATGTTTCAAATATTTACTTAATTTTTATTGTAAATAAAACGTACAAGAAATCATTTGGTCTGGTGTTCGTTGTTGTATAAATAAAATTTGCCTTCTGAACTTGAATTACTTTGAATTAGCAGTTACAACTTATGACCATAAATATTAAAATTTATTAATTACAATGATCATCGATACAGTCAGTGTAAAATTTAGCGCTCATATTGCTTTTTTCCACTATATTGAGCACCCTGTAGTGGCTGAACGGGGAGGCTAGGTGCACATATTTCTATCTACTACGGGAATTTGCATCGGGCAGTAATATTCACGCGATCAAATGACTTTTTTACTTCACTGGCCTAGGCTCGTTATACTCCCCTGTCTTAAATGATCGGGTAAGATCTCACCAGAGTTCTCAGAAGATTTATCAGGTGAAATCTCATGCCAAAAACTCAGCTGAAAACTCAGCTGAGAAACCAACTGAGATCTCACCTGACATTTTTGAGAAAAGTTTTCCTAGGAGTTTGTGGAGACTGATAAACATAAACGTAAGACAATGGTAAATAAAAAGCAAATTCTAATGATGTGCTTTTATAGTCACTTATCATTTCTTTACTGAAAGTTGTAGCCTACTTACTTATTTACGGAACGTAATCAGATAAAGATTTGACATAACGGTTAATGATAGGTTCATGAACTTATAGCAATGTAGTGATAGTTAACATTTTTACTTACCTTCGTAGGCATACATTCAGAACACCCCCTTTATTCGTTTTAAATACAAAATAGATCCTGTCTTCAATGATCGGATCAGATGTCACGAGAGTTCTCAGCTGACTTCTCAGGTAAAATCTCGTGCCAAAAACTCAGCTGAAAACTCAGCTGAGAAACCAACTGAGATCTCACCTGAGATTTTTAAAAAAAGTTCTCCTAGGAGCTTGTTATTCGTTTTTTCCAAACAGTTCCTAGTCATTTAAGCTATATGTTTAAAAATGTTTTTTTTTCAGTTTCTTAACCTCATATGCATCAAGACTTTAAAAATTTTTCATAATAAAGAAAAACGTGATGTATTAATTAGTTTTCTTGTAGTTACGGGGATATTGTCTAATTTATCGCAACTACTCTTATAAAGATGTTAACTAGAGCTGCCTTATTCCTACAATAAAATGTGTAACGTCGTTAGAAATATAATATGGCGGGTGGTACAATATGGCAAACGAGCTTCTTTTTCACACACTCTCGAATAATATGTGTTAAACAAATAAGTTAAATATATATTATGTTTAATAAAGTTAATAAACAAAACGCCAATTCCCATTCAATGTGGTGGTCAATACTAAATGGCGAATTACATATGTTTTTGGCGACTCCCACGATATGGGTGTCACACAGTACGGATAAAAAATGAAGTACACATAACTAAGTGGCCCTACGATTAGCCTAATATGGCGGCCACAACAGAAATATAATACCACGTGACTAGTTTAAAATATTACGATATTAAATATATATTAATCAAGATTTTATTAGTCTATGGACGACTGAAGGATTAAGAGACCATTGCCGTATGATTACTATTTTAATCGCCTAAAATCAATTAGGAAGAATAGGAAGAATTAGTGAGACTGAGTCGTCACAGTACATGTATTTTTTCGACACCGTTTTCAGAACTTTATGACTGTTATTAATGCTTTTTCTAAAATAGGGCTTTTACCTTTAGAATACATCTAATCACATAAATAAGAAATTTTTAGAATGTTGAAAGAGGGGCTTGAAAATATGGTTAAAGATTACAGATAACTCTTAATTAATTTTATTACTTTGTTCACAAATAAATAATATCGAATGGTCATTAGTTTGTCCCATGTTTCGTACCCTAATTTTTTGACAAATTGTGTATTACATAATTATGATGTATCATAACAATTTATACTGATTTTCTTAGTATAACAAGCTGAGTGAAAAAAGTGGTTGTATCTCATAAAATATAAGAATCTGTCGTAAGTGATAAGGTGATGTTTTCAAACTTTTTTCAGCAATAAAATTTACTTTAAAAACAACATGATTTAATTATAACGGTATTTCTTAAAGAAATACACGGTAACGTAAGCCAACCACTTGGCTTATAACCCAAGACCACACGGTTTTGTTTGTTTAATAGAGTTTTCCTGATAATCATTAACTTCAAATGTTTGGTACTGGGCATAAATACATTACATCTAACACTTTAACGACCACGCAAATCTTTTCGATGTCTTCTATAAGAATTATTATTACATCTGCTTCTTTAATTTGTTATATTAATTGCATATCTTCGCATATAACTTTTTGAAATTTGTTGTATGTACTTTATTGCAAAGCATTACTTCAAAATGTCTTTCATAATCTACAGTGAAAGCAACTATTTAAATATATTTTTCATTTTTTTAGTTTCGCTAAAGAGTCGTTAGACCTTTTTTAATTTTTATATGTGACTCGTACATACATTTTGTTTTAACCATTTTATTATAGATGTAAGCATGACTTGACAAATTTAAGTTGTTAGTAAATACACTAAGTTTTGTGTACTCAATTTTTTAGGTCATTCTAAAAAATTCTTATTTATGTGATAAGATGTATTATTAAGGTAAAAGCCCCATTTTGGAATGAGCATTAATAACAGTCATCAAGTTCTGAACACGGTGGCAAAAAAATACAAGTACTGTGACGATTCAGTCTCACTAATTCTTCCTATTCTTCCTAATTGATTTTAGGCAATTAAAATAGTTATCATACGGCAATGGTCTCTTGATCCTTCAGTCATCCATAGACTAATAAAATCTTGATTAATATTTATTTAATATCGTAATATCTTAAACTAGTCACGTGGTGTTATATTTCTGTTGTGGCTGCCATATTAGACTAATCGTAGGGCCACTTAGTTATGTGTACTTCATTTTTTATCCGTACTATGTGACACCCATATCATGGGAGTTGCCAAAAACATATGTGATTCTCCATTTAGTGTTGACCATCACATTGAATGGAAATTGGCGTTTTGTTTATTAACTTTATTTAACATAAAATGTATTTAACTTATTTATTTAACACATATTATTCGAGAGTGCGTGAAAAAGAAGCTCGTTTGCCATATTGTGCCACCCGCCATATTATATTTCCAATGACGTCACACATTTTATTGTAGGAATAAGGCAGTAGTTAACATCTATATAGGAGTAGTTGCGATAAATTAGACAATATCCCCGTAACTACAACAAAACTAATTAATACATGACGTTTTTCTTTATTATGAAAAATTTTTAAAGTCTTGATGCATATGAGGTTAAGAAACTGAAAAAAAAACATTTTTAAACATATAGCTTAAACGACTAGGAACTGTTTGGAATAAACGAATAATAAGCTCCTAGGAGAACTTTTTTCAAAAATCTCAGGTGAGATCTCAGTTGGTTTCTCAGCTGAGTTTTCAGCTGAATTTTTGGCATGAGATTTTACCTAAGAAGTCAGCTGAGAACTCTGGTGAGATCTGATCTGATCATTGAAGACAGGATCTATTTTGTATTTTAAACGTATAAAGTGATATATTGCTATAAGTGCATGAACCTATGATCAACCGCTGTGTCAGTTCTTCATCTGATTACGTTCCGTAAATAAGTAAGTAGGCTACAACTTTCAGGAAAGAAATGATAAGTGACTATAAAAGCACATAATTAGAATTGGCTGTTCATTTACCATTGTCTTATGTTTATGTTCATCAGTCTACTTTAAAATTTTTAGGGGTAGTGTATTTGTGGTGTTGATTGACAAGTAGCTCAACCCTGACGGTTAAAAGATAAATTTATTGTAATATTTAATATGTTAATTAAACCAAGAGAATAGAGTATATCCCTTTAATTATAGAAGGCCAAAGTGGTCAGTATCTTGATGCTGAAAACATACATCCCCCAGCTGTAGTAAGCCCCCCGTAACGCAGGTGGCGTTAGCTCCGATGCGGCAGTTACCAATGTTACTATTACCAATGTTACATGTTACCAATGTTACGTGAATAATGAGGAGTACAGTTAAACAATAACATTCTGTTAGAAAAAAGACGAAAACAATAGTTGTAAGTTTAAATATACAAATTCCATATAATAATCTCCAATTTCATCTTAAGCTTTAATTCTTAATTAAACACTTTATATATTGCTTATAACTCTTTGATCAGAAGTCTTATCAATTGCTGCGTGGTTAAGACCACACGGTTTGCTTTTGCGCTCATGCATTCGATTCCAGATAGCAGTCTATTTTTTAGTTTTTTGTAAGTTTACTTTTCACTAATATGTAAGTTTTATATTATTTAACTATGTTGCAATAAGGATGAAAAATTGTTTTATTAAAAAAAAAAAACAATTTTATTTCATTAAATTTCTTTAGTACCAAATCATCAAATGAAAATAAAATATTATAAACAAATAAAAAACTGTAGAATTAAAATAAAACAAAAAAGATGGTTTTTGTTGGATTTTAAGGATAGTTTTATTGGAATTTTTGAGGCTCAACACACGGTTTAATAATTTTTATGAAGAAGTACGTTCATAATGTAGTATTTTAAATTAACAAATGACATTTTTTTTCTGAATACGAAGTATAATGTAAAGAGGGTGTTTACACATAGACAAAATATTTTGTAAGCTTCTGTTTCGACATTGTATTGGCATTAGCCAAGTGCAGTACTAAAATGAAATTAAAATTTTTTTTTTTTTTTTTCTATGAAACAATTTGACATCTTTTTGAACACAAAGTGATATGTAATACAACTCATATATTTATGAAAAAGTAAGCTTACGAAAAATAAAATAAGACTGCTTTTCGGAATCGAATGCATGGTGTTAACCGCGCAGTCATTGATCAGACTTATGGACAAAGAGTTATTAGCCATATATAACGTGTTTAATAAGGAATAAAAGCTCAAGATCCAATTAAAGATTATTATTTAAAATTTATGTGTTTAAACTTACAACTATTGTTTTC